AAGTTGGTCATTAAGAAAATTCAATTATTGTTTTTTTATAATTAAAGGTGCTATCATATTGACTGGGAATGAAACAAATTCTACAACACAGAAATGGTCTATCACCGAGGATAACCCACGTGTTTCGTTAGATTTCATTAACAACAGTTATCAAATAGGATTGATTAGACCTGTGGATCTGGATGTTGCAAACGTATGGAAAATAGAATTGAATTTTATTTTTACAAACAGGAATATTTGTTTTTTTTAATAACATGTAAAATCATGATGGGATAATGAACATGTTTACCTATGCACATGTCTTTCAATTTTTTCAAAAAAAATACACTGTGCATGTATATCGTTTTGAAGTTAAAAAAAACTGTCGTCGAATGTCAAATGACGTTGTCAAACAAATTGTCACAACATTGTGCTTTCGTCAAAATTGTTTCTAAAATAATTTTTATATTCCTGATCATGACAAGATGCACACAGCAGGTGTGACTGGGGATTCTTACTTCTCCTTTGCATCTGATCCCAGTTCTGACGTTTTTAGAGCTCAGTGTTTTCTCTGCTTCAAATCTGCATTGGACTTTTTAGATTAATGTTTGTTTTCTAACTTTTCTTCATATACCATTTTCTCAATAGAGCTATATACTAGTATTGTGCGATCAGATATAGGTGCAAAAGATAATCAACCATGTAAAGTTTTACATGCTTAGGTTTAATCTTTACTCTCATTACAAGTATTTTGTATCCACATATTAGTTCAGACATCTTGAAGGATATCATACTGCCAAATTTGATGCACGATGCATGCAGATGCCAATATTTATTAAATATAATTGATGTCCGACAAAAAATCTTATATTGGTGCAAAATATATGAATTTTTGAAGAAATGAGATTGGACTGAGTTTGAATACTGTTCGTTATCTCCTTGAATTTTATTGTAAGTTATAGAAGCCATTCAAGACGTATACCAGTAATGAGTGTTTATCTTGTTAGAGAAATACAATCATGTATATTTTAATTTGTAGCTCGGCGATGTATGTGATTCTGGGCTGCAGCAATTCACACAGAGGGTGTCGTGTAAAAATAATGATGGATCACCAGTAAGATTATCTCTGAAATAACAACATTTCTTTATCTTTATTGAAAATTTTTACTTCCATCGATTGTTATTTCTCAAAAATTTACATTTTGTTGCATTAGGACGATGAAAATATAATGTTTAGCGTCAATCCAGTGAACGAATATCCACCAGTTGCTGTCAAAAATAACACTATCAGGATACAGGAGGTTCGTTACCTGAAATTTAGTACACGGGAACTGATATTTGGATAATTTTATGTGATTACTTTCGAAATATCAGAAAAAATTATGCATTTTAGGACAAAGGACCGACTCCAATTTACATTGCTCGTATGCTGGATCTGTTTCAAGACCGTGACTGTCCTAGGGTCACCCCTATAGTCGGCATATCAAAGACTACTGCAGGGGTGAGAGAAATTATGTCTTCTGCTAGCTTTTTTAAACAAAGGAACTGAAGACTGAGTAAGAAGTATTGAATGTTCGAAAGTTACAGAAGTGTTTAATTCAGGTTGTTGCTTGGCCTTTAATTACACACTGAATGGTTTACAGATTTTTCCGATTTCCTGATTAGAACAAGCAGCACACGGCGGGAGTAAACGATAAACACGGGATGCTTACTCCTATCCCGTCTCTTATGCTTTAAGAGGCTCTTGTACATGTAGGTTCCTTTCCTGTACATGTTTCATTTGCCTTTTGAGCTTGATGTTATTTTTTTCTTCATATCTCATTATAATAATTCCGTAGACTTATATTCAGTGAAATTGGGATTTCACAGATTTTTAGGTTCTACAAATCCAATACGACATGCTGCAATCATTAATTCTTCAAAGAATCAATAAAATGTTGTTTTTTTTTATTGTTTTAGCTTCTCAACACTTATGTAGTGTTGGAACACGTATGATCAGAGTCATTTCATAGGTGTAGAGAATCATACAGTGCATTATTTTTTTGTTAAATGAAACTTTATACTTCTGGGTTCTTTTGTTTGATGGTCTTTTTTTAACAAACAGCATGAATTTAAACAAATTACCCTTTACCTAGACAGATGTTAGCGAGTATTTTACTGTTAACACCACAACAGGATTTCTGTATCAAATGAAGAACTTTGATTACGAAGACACCAGAATCCAGTGCGGTTTGGGGAAAGGTGGAGGAACCTTAAATATCACTGCTGAGGTAAGCACGAGTGAAAATGAGTGAAAAATTCTCTAGGGGGACGAATAGAACATTTGGGAATGGAAAATTGCAATAAAATACTTACAATATCTTGACATTACTTTCTTCAGGACGGTCCACATACCGTGTTTACAATCCTGAATGTAAACTTTACTAACGTTGATGACACTCCCCCTGTGTTTGTCAGAGATAAATGTTCCTCTACCTGCTACTCTTGTTCAGTTCCGGATATTTCTGTTACCATTGATTACTTCGATCAGGTAGAAATGTTCCTAATGAAAAAAGAAAAATGAACAAATTGTGAACTTTCAAAATCATTTAGAGATTTAGCAGAGCAATGTTTCTAGTTTTTTGGCTATTTTAATTATTGGTTTTCTGAGGTATAAGATGTTATCATTTTTTCAAATTCAGCTTCAAAAATATTTCATGTTGCATTTTCGAAGGGTATTATCAAAACCGAACCCAACAGAATAAAGGCTATAGACCCGGACACTTCATCGTCTAATATCGCGTACAATTTAGAGGGTGAGTTTCCAGCATACGACTGGTAATCCCTTATATTTTCTTAAGATAGTAACATTTATATATATATATATTTCAATTAATTTTTTTTAAACTTGAAGTTGATCCTGCTAAATACATAGACAATACAAAGTTTGAATATGGAAGTTTTATCCTCAATCAGTCTTTTGCAAACTTCTCCAACTTCGGTGAATCTTCGGACTTTGATGTGGCGGTACTTCTGCAGGTTTGTTATCTCTTTATTTCAGTGAAAATATTGTCACAGATAGTCGAGCAGGTTTACCTTTTTACAAATTTTAAATATAACTCGAATTCTTGTTTCGTTCTTACAATTTACATATTTAATAATTTATGATAAAATGTACAAAGTCATTGTGATTGCTGCTGTTGTCCTGGTGACCAGTTGCGCGTCTTGCTTTCCACTTCACAGGCTGGAGGATGGACTATAGGTTTTAAGGGTGGCGGCCTATATACTACACTCCAAGGGCGATATACACTGGGCAACCTCACTGTCGTACACCAACTTTGACGTATGGCTGGAACCTGCTCCAACATATACACACAAGCTTTACTTACAAGCTCTAGTGGCTTTACACAAATATACTTTACACTCATTATATGATCATAATAAACACGTCTTAGATAAGACTCAATTACACACACTCATGGGAAGTTGAAATTATACGTACAACTCCTACACAGATGCAATATTACGAATTGCTACTTTACGGACAAACTATTATGACAGCAATTGTACACCGTACTTTAAAATAGTCAAATACGTGTTACTAAATATATACAAATCAAATTAAACAAAAAATACATGCTAAAAATGATGAGAAATACGAATACTGGATGTTTTAGGACAAATGAATAATACTTTACACTGTAAATAACTAAAATGACATTATAAACGACCTTACCTCAGAAAAGCTGAACCATAGCGTTCTTTTAAAAACAATAGAATACCAGAGCAAGCCCTGCACAAGGTACATGCAAAATAACAATGCTGAATACCAAAACAAAATTATATGTGAGAGGAATGAGAAACGTCCTCCTCTCTGGACTGCCGTGTCCAAACTAACTTGCACGGACAGGCGGGTTTTAAGGTCCAGTGAATTGAGGTTCAGTAAAGGATATTTACAATGATAACATTCTAAAAACGAATGGGTTCCGCACGGGATATTTATATGAAAGTTAAAATACGTTGTAACAAAATCATGATATGAGGATTTTAATGTGACAAATATGCAACTTTTTTGTCTTTTCTACTAAATAAAAGTCAAGCACATGTACTTGCAGGCAATTGGAAGTAACGGTCAGAAATCAAAGCATTTCGTTTTAGTAATACATGTAACAGTGCCTCCAACCATGACGAAAGACACAACAACCATAGATGAAGAAAGGGGGATTCTTTTAACGACTACAGAAGGTATAATCTGCTTCTGTTTATTTTGTTTTATGGACTTTTCATCCTGAATACTGTTTGCTTTCTCCTTATGTTTTTTTTTTGTATCAAGCAAGCAAATTCAAAGAATTTTGGTACCCAGTTTTTGGTGTACTAGAGGTAATGCACATGTGAAATATGAAATATCTTATCTTACTCAAAAGTTATGTCCAAGATTAAAGTTCATGTGACAGATGGACAGATTTACAGACGGACGGACAGACAAATTAATGTCCTCTGCCTTTGTGAAATTGGGGGACAAAATAGGGGGAATTGTTTAACAGGTTTGAGAACATTCATAAAAAGACGAATGCAATAGTGGTGATTAAAATGGATTCTTAACAAACAGGAAATATATAAGTAATGTCAGATTTTCAGAGTAAATATGTATGCAAACTCTTATCTTGATTTAAAAAAGTGAAGTTAACAGGGTTACTGGTATTTTAATTTTTCATATATTTAATCCTTCAAAATACAGTAGATATCTGCGCATGTCATAATGATTTCGTTTTTATATCAACAGCTAGTTGTAAAGCATTGGTTGTTTTTGTGTGTCAACACATTAAGTATATTCTTATACTAACAACCAAGCTCTATGATAAACGTGATGGCTTGAACTTTACAATCATCAACTTCCCTTACATATGTAGCAATAAACCTTTGTCACCTGTATACGGATTTTATATGTCTCAGCTGATTCGATACGCAAGAGCATGCTCTACATGTAGGTATGAACAACTAATATCAAAACAGATACTACAGTAAAGTAACATATTCATAACACAGTATACATATTATAAATTTTAGCTTGAGATTTACTAAAATGTCTAGATTTAGTCACCTTGTGTTTAAAACTTAAAAGGCTAAAAGATATAATGTGAATTATATATTTAAAAATCTTTTTATGAGGAGATTTTTCAAGCTTTGTACATTAATAAAATCATTAAAATGTTCTTTTTTTGGGGGTCATATTATCTAGCTCCTCCGTTCTTGCATTCGTGTAGTGAAAATACTTTTCTGAAGCTTATTTCATTTTCTTGTTGTTTTATCACTTTGTTTTATTTTTTGTACCGACTTTTACATTCCTGATAGTGTAGAAATGCGCGAAATGCTAATTTAAACTGAATACTTTATTTGCAGGAAAGCTTGACCATCCGATATTGGATAAATCTAAATCTGAATCAACAAACGAAGTAGCCATCATTGCTCTCTCAATATCTGCGGGACTGTTACTGATAATAATAGTAGCATTCGTTTTCTATAAAATATGGTCCACTAGAACAAAACAAGAGAGTCCTAGCCCAGGTTATGAGGAAGTAAAGAGAAACAACAACCATAAGGAAAATGTGTATGCTACCATAACATAAACATTTTTAACCATCAACTTGTATCTAGCTATTCCTTTTTATTCCTTTGTATTGTGTTAAAATGTAAGTTTATCTTTCTGCTAAGAAACATGATATTCTTCTTAATGCCACGAAGATTAGAGTGCTTATATTACAAACAAAGTAATGTTTAAGAGGATGGTTACTCCATTTAAGCACCTGATTCAACCTCTTGGATTTCGCAGGGTCCGTTTTTATATCCTCTTCAAATACATAGAAATCTCTAATAATAACTTAAATATAAACTGAAGCATAACCATAGGTTTAATTAAAATGGATAGCGTCGGATTCATGCAGGTTAAATTTTAGATATCATTCTCAAGTACAACATGAAATATATGGAGATAACGAACAGTATTCAAGCTCAAAAGCCCATAAAACAATGCAAAATAAAAGCAGAGCAAACACGGACTTCTTGAATATCAGAGGTGGGATCAGGTGCCAGGGAGGAAGGAGTGAGCGACCGGTCACAGCCGCTATGTGCTCCTTGTCAAGATCGGTTAATAACGGGAAAATCCGTCGTCAAGTCAGTAATAGAGTGTGTAAATAATGGACTAACTAAAGGTATGAAAAACGTGCATCAGTAATTGACTTAATAAATTGTATTTGCTAACAAGGTCATTGTATCGACCATAGAACTTACCAAATGATAACTTCAAACTAATGCATGCAAAGTCCTACCTCACAACCCATTCCTACGACAGTTGTTGGAAGAGATCTTTTTTTTAATGAAGCAAACTTATTATTGACTTATAGTTATCCAACACAACCCGAAAAGTATAGTTGGAGATCTTTCCGATGGGAGAACGATGCAATGCTGTTTTGTTTGTTCATTCTTAAGTAACTGTTTTTCCTCCCTAGATCAACATATTGCAATGATACTTATATACTACATGGAACAAAATACTATTGTTAGTTATCAAGTGATGCTTACAGATATTTTTGGTTTTGATTTAAATTATTGATTGCCCTATCTCCTTAATTAGCAGTAGGCTGCTTTCTCTATAAAGAAAGCAATCTTTTTAGGTACCTGATTTCACCTCTTGATCAAAAGGTGCAAGAAAATACATAAAATTAAGTGAAACAAATGGAGATAACGAATAGTGTTCAAGATCAAAAGTCTTTAAAACAATACAAAACAGGAGAAGAGCAAACACGGACCTCCGAAACATCAGAGGTGGGATCAGGTGCCATTGAGGAGTGAGCATCCCCTGCTGACCGATCACACCCGCCGTGTGCATCAAAAAGATGATGATCATTAGATAACGGAAAAATCCGCCGTCAATTCAGTGTATCAATAATGGACTAATAATTAGTATGAAAAACTTTAGTCAGCATTTGACTCAATGACAAATTGTATTTGCTGACAAGGTCATTGTATCGACTATAGAACTTACAAAATGACTTTAAACGAGACTGTTGATATTGTTGTTTCATCAACTTGTTTGTCAATAATTTACCTCGTTTCGTTTTAGAAATTGTTCATACGTAGAGCATGCTCCTGCGTATCGAATCAACTGAGATACATAAACACCGTATTGAAGTTAAAAAAGTCATATTGCAGCATAAGTAAAGGCAGTTGACGATAGAAAGATAGAAAAGCCATCACGTTTAACATAGAGCTTGGTTGTTACATCACCATTAATGTCTTTTTAAAGTAAAATATCCAAGTATGAAATAGATGTTTCAGACTCCGTGGTATCCTTTATCTCAAGCTCACCGGGATATTTCGTATCGACATGGGAATGGAAATTACCATCGTTAATTGAAAATACATCGTCGATAAATCTAAATGTCGGGTTGAAGGTCACAGCAAGTGTTTTCTTCTTTTCACGCATAAGATATTGTACAGATTCTGCTTCATATGAAAAATAACGGAGCTCAATTGGTTCCCATAAGATTTCCGATAGATTGTTGAAAGACCTGGTCTCCAAAAACCACATGGATATCGTCAATCAGAAACTCAAGCATCTTTTTTATGTCAACTTCAGAGTACTTGTTTGTGCAATCAAAATCTGTTTTTAAAAAAATATTTTGCTAATTAATCAATTTTACGAGCTCAATTTTTATTGGGAAAGCAGCCGTCAATATCAAAAATCATGGACTTTAATTTATCGTGGGGAATGGTTATGTAATAGTCACTATAAAGTTGAAAAGTCGTAAGTTTTTATTAATAAGCTGTTGATTTTTATAAAATCTTTTGATATCAAATTGTCCAAAAGTTGTTTGGAATTTTTGATTGATTGATTGATTGATGAAATGATATATTGTTTAACGTCCCTCTCGAGAATTTTTCACTCATATGGAGAGGTCACCGTATGCCGGTGAAGGGCTTCAAATTTAGATCGATACTCGGCACTCAGGGCCTTTGAGCAGTGAGGTTCTTTATTGTACCAGCGCCTATGACACGAGACCTCCGTTTTTTAGGTCATATCCGAAAGACCCGTGACTTTCACTTCTAATGCCGAGCGCTTGGCGAAGGAACAGTCACTACCTATTTTTACGTCTTAGGTTTAACGCGTCGCCGCGAACGAGAATCGAACCCGGGCCTCCCGATCACGAAGCAAACGCTCCACCACTAGGCTACCGTGAACGCTTGGAATTTTTGAGCATCTACATCTGATTCATACCACTTCTTGAATATATTGTTGCACAATACTCTTGAAGTTTTTCCTTCACTACTGTCAATATCTTAGTGATGAGGTGTTTAGAAAGAA